TATATAACTTTCTGCAGCTTCGTTTCTTCATGGAAATATCGCTCTTTAGGTCTATTTCAATATTTTAAGAGGATTTATTAGTTTTACAAGGTAAAGGAACAACGTTTACATTGCACTCCATAATTCCCACAGTTGTTTAGCCATACTTGCTAACTGAAAGGATCCAGTGCGAATGCCAGTCTTTTTATGCCCCGGCTTCCCCGGCCCCAGTGCCTTTGGCTGTGTTCCAGAAGGTCATTTTTCACCTCTCCACACAACTGCGCGGCAGTGACCAGGCTGTGTCTGTTTCTGCGCCAGCACCTCTTTAGTTTGTTTTGATTTCTGATAAGGCAAGTTCCCTTTTCTTAAGTCTTCTTTTTAAAACTTATCTTGGCTATTCTTGTACAGTAACATTTCCATGTAAATTCTATAATCAACTTGACAAGTTGCACTTAAGAAATTCTGTTGGGATGTTTCCTTGGCCTGCATTAAATTTATAGATTTGTTTGGGAAATGTTGGAATAAAGAACAAAGAATTCCAATCCCAGAATATAACTTTTCCCCCCCATTCTTTGGTTCCTTTTTTTTTTCCTTCTTCAGGAAAGGTTTGATTTTGTTGTTGTTTTGGTTTTTGGTGCTGGTACTGGGCCTTGAACTCAGCACCTGGCGCTGTCCCTTAGCTTTTCACTCAAGGCTGGTGTTCTACCACTTGAGCCACAGCCCCACTTCTGGCTTTTTACTGGTTCTTTGGAGATAGAAGTCTCATTAAGTTTCCTGCGGAGGCTGGCTCCAAACCTGGATTCTCAGATCTTGGTCCCCTGTGTAACTAGGATTATAGGTGTGAGCCACCAGTCCCTGGAAGAAATGGTTTATACTTTTGCCATAAAGATCTGACATATTTGCTTACTGAATTAACCATCTTTCACTTGCAAATAATAAAAATGCTACTTTTAAATTTTTTTTCTAACCTCATTTTTTGTGTTTGTTTATTTTAGTAGTTCTAGGGTTTGAACTCAGGATCTTGAGTTTGCTAGGCAAGTGCTACACACACACACACACACACACACACACACACACACACACACACACACACACACACACACACACACACACACACACACACACACCTTTATTTATTTTATCAACAGAGGAATTTGCTCCCAGCTAGAAATCTGAGAAATACAGACCGGCTCTCAGTCTTTCCCCTAACCTGGCCTGAATGCAATTCCATTTGGTAGTAATTCCAAACTGGGGTTGTGAGCTGGGATCTAGAGAATATTTGCCTTATTTGGAAAGGTGTCTTGGCTTGTTTGGGTGACCTTCCAGGAGAGAGGGAAGGCACCCCTTTCCTCTGCCATCTTTCCCCAGAAGCAGCCATGGCTCCTCAGCCACACACTCCCATTGGTCCCTGGCTCTCCTCAGCGGCCTTCGGGGCCCAGGAGGGCTGGCCAGGGCTTCCACGGCTCTTGGCAGGCTTTCTGCCGCTTCTATTTGGAATTACCTTTGGAATATCACTTCGCTTACGGTAGCATCTCATTCTGTCTAGCAAACGATAGTCGTCACGCATTGTGTTCTTTAAAGTGGATCTCCATCTTTTCTCCTTTAGGTGACTCTAGC